AATAAATAAATAAATAAATAAATAAATAAATAAATAAATACAAGCAACAAAAAAATAAGGAGGAAATCATATTAACAGTCTATAATTATATATCAGTTGCAAAATCAAAAATGCAAACCTGTGGGTCTTCAGTGTTCCCATTCAAACTTTAAGAATACAGCACATCTAAACTAGGACCTGTTTCCTACTCAGCAAGAAAAATAACTGTGAGGAAGATGAAATCTTGTTTTAAATTTTTAAACTTCATATGAACTGGTTGTAAAGGTATCAGATCCCCTGGAACCAGGGTTACAGAGAGTTGTAAACTGCCTTCTGGGTCCTGCGAATTGAACCTGGATCCTCTGGAAGAATAGGCAGTGCCATTAATCACTGAGCCATCTCTCCAGTCCCAAGATGAAATCTTTTAAGAAGACACTCCTGCAAAATTTAAAAGCAAATAGAGAGAACACAGGGAGGTAAGCTGAAGCTTATAAACCAAGCGTTTAGGTAATGAAGGCATGAGGATAAGGAGTTCAAGGCAAGCCTCAGTTATACCATGAGTTGGAAGCCAGTCTGATCTATATGACAGACCCTGTCTCAAAACAAAACATTTAATAACAGAAAAAGAATTAAAATAGGGTGCTGGAGAGATGATGGCTCAGCAGTTAAGAGCACTGATATTCTTCAAAAGGACCTGGGTTCAATTGCATGTGGCTCACAGCATGCAACATGTGTGAGCCACATGTTGTATGTTTTATAAATTTTTATTGAATGGAGTTGAGTCTGTAAAATTAAACCTGTAAGTGAAATAGAAGCTTATTGGAACTTAAATTCTTATTTAAATTATACCAAAATCTTTAAATAAAATATGCTGAGTTTGAAAGCATTCTTTTTCTAAAAATAATGTTTATTATTTTGTAGTAACATGCACAGATGTATTGTAATTCTGAGTATGACTAAGAGTAAAATTTATAAAACAAGATTATGATAGAAATTTTAAGCTTAATATTAAATATGAGCCCTAATTCTGTATTTTTTTTATTGTTTTTAGCAAGTTTTTATTTTTTATCCCCCTCCCCCCCGAAACAGGGTTTCTCTGTGTAGCTTTGGAGCCTGTCCTGGAACTCATTCTGTAGACCAAGCTGGCCTCGAACTCACAGAGATCCTCCTGCTTCTGCCTCCCAAGTACTGGGATTAAAGGTGTTCACCACTGCTGCCTGGCTATTTCTCATATTCTTGTTTTCCCTTAATAAGTTTATCTTAAGTGCTGTTATAGTACAAAAATGTTGAATTTATTTTTTATTTCAAGATATAACAAGCAATTTAATACTTTGATATTATCTACCAATTAGAAAAAGGGACATAGCCCGGGTATGCTGGTGCACTAGACAGGCAGAGGCAAGTGAATCTTTGTAACAAGGCCAACCAGGCCTACACAGTGAGGCCCTGTCTCAAAAAATAAAATAATGAAGGTCGTCATAGTGATTTATAGAAAATGCTTTCAAATTCAAAGACTTCAGCCTTTTTTTTCCCCCCTCTCTGCTCCTGTACTTAAAGTCAGTCAGAACTGTTTCATGTTGCTAGGAACAATTTAAATTACAGTATTATATCTCCTTGGATTGTATATAAACATCTATGTACACATTCTTATTTACCTAACGTCTCTTTTTAAATTGGGTTGTCTTTTTATTGAATTTTAAGATTAGATATAGCCCCTTTTATAAGATATGTGGCTTGCAGACAGTTTCTCCCACTCTTTATGGTTTCTCATTACTTCCTGGTGCCTTTTGAGTCACAAACTTAAATTTGGCAAAGTCTATTTATCACTTGTGCTGTTCCTTTTCTTTTTAAGAAACCAGTGCTTTACCTAAGATTGCAAAGATTTACTCATGTATTCCCTAAGAGTTTTGTAATTTTAGCTTCTTAGAGAATCCACTACTACCAGCCCAGGGATGGCACCACCCACAATGGCTGGGCCCTTCTGCATCAATCACTAATTAAGAAAATAGTCAGCACTGGGGAGACTGAGGCAGGCAGGTCTCTGTAAGTTCAAGGCCAGCCTGGTCTACAGAGCGAGTTCCAGGACAGGCTCCAAGACTACAGTTTCTTTGTAACTTTGGAGCAAGTCCCAGATCTAGACCAGGCTGGTCATGAACTCTCATGGAGTTCCGCCTGCCTCTGCCTCCCACGTGTTGGGATTAAAGGCACATGCCACCACTCCCTGGCGCAGCCTGAGATTTTATGGAAACATTTTTCTCAATTGAGGTTCCCTCCTCTCAGATAACTCTAGCTTGTGTCAAGTTGATGTAAAAATTAACCAGCACAGCCTTTAATCCCAGCACTTGGAAGGCAGAGGCAGACAGATTTTTCTTAGTTAGACACCATCCTGAAAACATAGTAAGTTCTAGGCCAGGAAAGGAAAAAAAATATGGGGCTAAAAAGGTGGCTCATTGGTTAAGAGCATTGACTGCCTTTCCAGGGAATCCAGGCTTGATTTCCAGGACTAATCTGAGAGTTCATAAGTGTCTGGAACTCAACTCAGCGATCTGATATTAGGGCACTTTTCTGACCTCCACGGTACCTTATTGCACAGAATATATACAGATGAAAAACCCATGCACATAGAAATAAATCATTTTTTAAAGTTTTGGCAAAGTTGAAGCATAATTTCTTTTCTAGTGATTATCAAGTAGAGCTATGAAAAAAGCCATGTGGTTAAAATAGATAGCACTGTGTTAATAATTGGCTATAACCATAAAAAATAAAAGTAAATAAAATTTAAAAACTAAATGGGGCTGGAGAGATGGCTCGGTGGTTAAGAGCACCAACCAGCATTCAGTTCCCAGCACCCACCTGGCAGCTAACAACTGTCTGTAATTCTAGTTCCAGGGGATCTGACATCCATGGGAAAACACCAATGCACACAAAAATAAACAAATAAATAAATAATTGGCTATTACAAGGTCTGGCCACCATTAAAATTAGGTGATTGGGAAATCTAAATTACTAGATTTAAGCTTGGTCGTAGATATTTTATTTATATTGTAAGATTTCTGTATGACCCTTTATATCTTTATATGATACTTTCTGTCTTTTTTTATTTCGAGAGTAATTTATTTCTTTGTGCATTTTTATAATAAAAATATCATAAAATTAAATTTTATGATATGCTCTTTTTTAAAGTTCTTGTCTAATACCTATAGTATTTGTGTCACAGTTTGATACTTACTGGTTGTTATTTTCTAATTGAGTAAATATTTTCTTGGTCTTCTATATTGAGGAATTTTGGATTACAGTCTAGACATTTGTAATGTTCAGAGTCTCTGAGTCTTGAGATGTAACAGATCATGATGACAGTGGACTTAGGATAAAGCTTTGTACTTGTCTTCTCTTGCTTATTTTACAATGTCAGTTACCTTTTTAAAGCCTGTACAGCCCTGTTTGGATTTATCCTACAGTGACTAGTCTTAGACTCAATTTTAGGTCAGACTGGTTTGTCTTTTAGGGTTAGGCAGACCTAGAAGTTACAAAGAACAGTTTTCCTGCTTCTTCCTCCCCTTAGTGTTCACATGAATTTCCTTTTCTCTGGAGCTCCTATTTCCAGTCCTGTCAGAGATGCCTACTGTGCCACACACTTCTTGAATTTGTCTGTATCCAAGGAGGAGATATAGGGGGAAGGAAAACAGAAGAGGTCAGGAAGAAATGGAAATTTGGGGGGCTGGAGAGATGGCTCAGTGGTTAAGAATGCTGCCTGCCCTTCCTAAGGTCAGTTCCCAGCAACCACATGGTGGCTCACAACCATCTGTAATGAGGTCTGGTGCCCTCTTCTGGCCTGCAGGCATACATGCAGACAGAATACCAAGAATACTGTATACATAATAAATAAATAGATTTAAAAAAAAAAGAAATGGGAATTTGTCCCATTCTCTTGGGACTGTAATGTGATAAACTACATAATACCTTCTAAAGATTCCTAGATCCTAGTTCATGGAAGTTACATGTAGAATGTGTCTGGAATTCTAGAAATCTGGATGTTTAAGAGATTCAAGTTTATCACTTCTTACCCTATGTGAAATTATTTCTTTTAGAATTAGAGAAATGCTTAAGTTAGCACCATTGGTAGATTTGTGTAGCCTTGTATTCTTAGTCATTTGCTTAAATATCAGTTTGAGATATTCTTCAGATGATTTTGAAAATTTATTGTGAAAAAATTATTCCAATACTAATACTGAAGATACTTACTATTTTTTGTTTTGTGATGAGTGAAGCATTAGCATTGCCCTTGATTTAGCAAAGTGAAACTTTTGATAACAATGTTTAATACTCTCATAGGGTTTATCAAGTTTTGCTTTTCCTCTTTCCCATATTTATTTAATAGTTGAGTGATAACAGTGTGTAGGTCAGTACAGGGTACTGAAGATTCTAGGTTACAGTATGAGCTGGTATCGATTTAAAAAAAAAAAAACAAAACTTGGTCTGAACTTGCCTGCCTTTTACTTTGCAAGGACAGGTCAAGGTAATAATTACAGTGTGCCGTAGTTTGTTTAATACTTGCTTAAATGGGACATTCTTTGACTATATGGCTCTTGCTTACAACGAATTTTACATTTAAGAAAATAAGAGTACTAAGGGCGTGGCTTAGTAATTAGAGCAGGTTGCCTTATTGGCAAAACCTCCCAGTTTCTCATCCTGGCACCGAGAGAGAAGGTAGGGGAATTGTATGCTATTAGGTGAGGTGTTTTTCTGTCTTGGGCGTGTGGAAACTTAAGAAAGTAACCTAATTTTCCTTTGGAACTGGAAGCATTATTAATGGGATGAAGAAGATAATATGTATCTGTGGGAGTTTGTTTGTATGGTGGTAGCAGTTGGCTAGCTTTTAGTTGTTTGAAACAAGGCCTCAGACTTACTATGTAACAAGGAGTGATCTTGAACTACCACTGATCCTTTATTTTCAGAGTGCTGGGATTCAGGCATACGCTACCATACCAAAATTTCAGAGGTCTTTTATTACTACAACTACTACTATTTTTATTTTACTTGTGCGTGTGCGTGTGTATGTGCGCATATGCATGTGCTGGGTGTGCATGTATTAAGTTTTATGTATTTTTTTATAACTTAGTCCACATCTGAACTTCATGGTTTGATAACCTGTGTTTTCTGTAAGGTATATGCCTTTTGGTATAATAAGACAGTTGGAACCATATGCAGTATAGTTTGCTGTTGTCCAGCCAAAGTTCCTTTGGTTCCTGATTCTCATTGGGTCGAGATTGGAATACTTAAGACATTGTTTTGGATATTGGAATTCCTCATTTAAATGTGTTTGAGATCCTTTTGTTTTATATCCCAGAGAAACCAGTAGCAACTTCTTTTTACTGATGCTATCTATTAAAAAGGGTTTTGGTGGGGCGGTGGAAAGAAAGAAGGAAGAAAGGAAGGAAGTAAAAGTTTTGTTGTTTTAGCTGAAGCAAAATTCCTACTACTAATTTTCATTGCATATTCCCCTTCCCATCTACTTTTTGAAGGTCAAGACTGATTTTGTAATAATTCCTTGGAACAAATACTAAGCTCTTATGAAGCCATATATTTGAAGGACAGTAAGGTATTCATTTAATATCCTTGAACTGTTTGCCATTAGTGACAGTATTAGTTACTTTTATGCTGATGTGACTTGATAAGAAGCAACTTAAGGAGAGGTTTTATCTTGGTTTTATAATTGGAGGAAGTCCTGGTCATTAGGGTGGAGAAAACATGGTAGCAGGAATATGAGAGCGCCATTCACATTGTGTCTCCAGTCAGTAGGCAGAGAGACGTGAAAACTGGTGCTCAGTTTTCCTTTGTCTTTCTATAATTACCAGTCTCTAGTTTGTAGAGCCTCCAGGGTGGCTCTTCCCTGTTCAGTTAGACCTCTTTGGAAATATTCCCTCAGACAAGCCCAGAAGTATCTTGTAGGTAACACTAAATTCATTAAGTTAGCTTTTCTTTTTTCTTTTTCTTTTCTTTTCTTTTTTTGGTGGGGACAGAGTTTCTTCGTGTAACACTAGCCATCCTGGAAGTCGCTTTGTAGACCAGGCTGGCCTCGAACTCAGAGATCCACCTGCCTGTGCCTCCCAAGTGCTGGGATTAAAGACGTTTGTCCCACCAACTGGCTAATTCATCAAGTTAGCATGGTGCATTTTCTCATTAGGTTTGTATGTTTATTTTTAATAGTTTTATTAGTGTATATTAACTATATGCAATAATAGATTTTGTTCTTAAATTTTGTATACATATATAATGTATGTATTTTGATCATTCATTCCCCATTATCCTCTCTTATCCCCTGCTGTTCTTACTGATCCCTTTCTGCCTCCCAGCTAGTCCTCTGTCTTTTTTTGGTCAAAACCTGCCCTCCACAGTGACATATGTCTTCCAACAAGGCCTTACCAACAAAGCTATCCCTTCTTCTAATAGTGCCACTTCCTATGAAATTATAGGGGCCAATTACATTCAAACTACCACAAGTCCTGTTTTGTCTGGAAGATACTGTTTTCTTCTTATCATCCATCCCCTCTGGCTCTTACAATCTTTCCAGCCTCCTCTTTTGCAGAATTCCCTGAGCCATGAGGGGAAGGATTTGATGAATACATCCCATTTAGGATTGAATGTTACAAGATCTCTCAATCTCTGCTCATTTTTCAGTTGTGTGTCTTTGTAGTTTTTATCTTCTGTAGGAAGAGGCTTCTCTAATGATGGCTCAGTGAGGACCCTGATATATAGGTAGCAGAATGTCATTAGGCATTATTTTATTGTTTGTTCCTTTAGTGGAATAACAGTGTTTGGTTTTCCCCTAGGTTCCCTCACACAACTATGTCCACCCAAAACTTACTATTGATTAGATATTTCCTGGAAAAATCATTTCTTCATTAAGAAATTCAGATCTGCCAAATTTGCCTGAGAAACTGAATTTAATAGAATAATATTTGCAAAAGAAAAAGTATTTGCTAAAGATTGTTTGCCTAGAAAATGTTTTTGTAGATAAAAATGAATTGATGGACCACATGTTCACCCAAATTTTAAATGGAAAGTATTTGTTCTTATGAATATTACATAAAGTTTAAGTTCTGAAGACATTAACTTGATGCCACTGACTATTTACTTTTGTTTTCCTTCAAGATTAGGGATTGAGCCCAGAGCCTTGCACATGCCAAAACATGCTTTATCAACTAAAATATATCCCCCAACCAAGTCCTGCTGACTTTTAGTCAGGTGCTTTAAAAGGTATATTAAAGTTTACTCAGGAAAAGTATTTTCTGAAGCAATAGCCATGAATTTATATCCCAAATACCTGAGATTATAGGCCTGTACCACCAAGCCATTTTATGCACCTTTTATTTTTTTTTTAATTTTTTTTGGTTTTTCGAGACAAGGTTTCTCTGTGGCTTTGGAGCCTGTCCTGGAACTAGCTCTGTAGACCAGGTTGGTCTCGAACTCACAGAGATCCACCTGTCTCTGCCTCCCGAGTGCTGGGATTAAAGGCGTGCGCCACCACTGCCCGGCGACCTTTTATTTTGTTTTGAGACAGTGTCTCACTGTGTAGCTCTGGTTGACCTAGAACTCACTATATAGACCAGGCTAGCCTTGAAACTCATAAAGATGTTCTGGCCTCTGTTTGCTGATCATTTTGGATTATAGACATGCAATACTATGCCTAGCCCTTGTTTATTTTACATGTGTGTCCATGCCATGATGTACATGGTGAAGATCAAGAAAACTTGCAAAAGTTGTTTCTTTCATTTTATCTTGTGGGTTTAAGGGATTGAATTCAGGATGTCAGACTTAGGGGTGAGCTCCCTTAAACACTGAGTTGTCTCACTAGCTTATACTGTGTATATGTGTCTGTCTGTCTGTCTGTCTGTCTGTCTGTCTGTCTGTCTGTCTGTCTGTCTGCATGTACTTTGGTTTTTTTGAGACAGGGTTTCTCTGAGTAACAGTTCTAGCTGTCCTGGAACTAGCTCTTTTAGACCAGGCTGGCCTCCTCAAACTCACAGAGATCTGTCTGCCTCTGCCTCTCGAGTACTGGGATTAAAGGTGTGCACCATCACTGCCCAGCCATAATTTTTAAAAGGTCGGTCGGTCGGTCGGTCGGTCGGTCGGTCGGTCGGTCGGTCGGTCGGTCGGTCTGTCTGTCTGTCTGTCTATCTATCTATCTATCTATCTATCTATCTATCTATCTATCTATCTATCTATCATGTATGCAGTGTTCTGTATTACTTCAACAAAGAAGAGGGCACCAGATCTCATTATAATTGGTGGTTGTGAGCCACTATGTGGATGCTGGGAATTGAACTCAGGACCTCTGGAAGAGCAGCTAGTGCTCTTAACCTCTGAGCCATCTCTCCAACCCCCATACATAATTTTTGAGTAAAAAATTTTAATAATGAATAAGTAATTTGTAATAATTTTGAATAAGTTCCTTTTATGTCTAGTTTTTATTCTATTATAAATAATGTAATAAATTTCTGTTAATTTTTTGTGATTTCTTTAGAATTCTGAAAATTAGGGAATGTTGTTCTTTGTAATCACAATAATAAATGTATAAGTGTAGTCGAAGTTAAAGGATACTCTATAACTGCATAAATTCTTTATCAAATTATTGCTGCTTTAAAGGAAGTCATCTCCCTCCCCCCACTCCCACCTTTTGGACCTTGATAAGGATCCAAAACAAAATAAGTGGTCAGTTGTGTCATCCTGTAATGTGTGCGTGGTTAGAGTAGGTGGGCATATCAGCTGAGTGTTGTAATAAGGTACAGAAGAAGAATCATTATCATTTCACTAAAACTAATCAGAGCCTTGTCTGAAGATGGAGACAAGGTTTAGTTAAGGATGATGACACCTCCTGTCCTTGATAACTGCAGCATCTCTAAGGTTGGCTTTCTCACGTTTTTTTTTTCTTCAGGTGATTTACTGTTCTTTTGGTGGAACATCCAAAGGGCTACACTTCAATAACTTAATAGTTGGACTTGTTCTCCTTACAAGAGGCAAAGATGAAGAGAAAGCAAAATGTAAGTTCTTTATCTTAGGTTATAATATCCTATGTGCAGAATAATTTACTGAAAAATCTGAAAGGCAAAGAATGTAATGGCTATTTCTCCAAAGACACACAGCTGACCAATAAATAAGCACTTCAAAACTGTTCAGTGTAGCTAGTCATCAAAGTCAACTAAAACCACTGAGATACTACATCACATTTTAAAATATAATAACAGTGTCAACGTCTATAAAAATTGCAGTCTGTTGTTGGTTGTTTTTACTCTTTGTTCTTTTTGTGGGGCCCACCACCCAACTCCCAAATAAATACACACACAGGCTTAGCTTGGGTTATTTCTAGCTAGCTTTCCTTAACTTAAATTATCCCATCTACCTTTTGCTTCTAGACTTTTTCATTTTCTTCTGTATATCTTATTTTCACCTTTACTGCTTAGCTGGTTCTGTGGTTGGGTGTCTGGCCCCTGTTGCCCTCTCCTTGTTCTCTCGCTCCTTCGTCCTTTCTTCCCAGATTTCTCTTCTTACTTATCATTCTCTCTGCCTGCCAGCCCTGCCTATCCTTTCTCCTCCCTTGCTATTAGCTGCTCAGTTTTTTATTAGACCAATCAGGCTTTTTTAGACAGGCACAGTATCACAGTTTTATAAGAGTTAAACAGATGCAACATAAAAGAATGCAACACATCTTTACATCATTAAAACAAATGTTCCACAGCATAAACGACTGTAACACATCTTAAAATATATTCCACAGCAGCTGTCCTTTGCTTTGGGGAGTATAAAATGATAGTGCAGCCACTTTCGCTTTTGTTTTTATTCACTTATTTTTGGTGCTGGGAATTAAACTCAGGGCCTATCTGGATGGATAAACAAAATGCAAATTTCTGTACAATCTAGCCTTACTTTACAAGGAAAGGAAGTCAAGTGATGACTGATCCATGCTAAAAACATAGATAAGGCTTACAAATATTTTACTGAGGGGTTGGAGAGTTGGTTCAGCAGTTAAGAGCTTGTATTACTCTTCCAAAGGACGTGAATTTGGTTCCAGCACCCATGTCATGAGTCTCATGACCGCCTGTAACTTCAGTCCTAGAGGATCTGACATCCTCTTCTGTCCTCTTGTAGGTATATCCCATATATGCACGCACGCGCACACACACACATACATGTAAATATCTTTAAAACATATATTCATATATTTAAAACACATTTGAGTCAGGCAGTGGTGGCTCATGCCTTTAATCCCAGCACCTGGGAGGCAGAGACAGGCAAATCAACAAGAGATAGTTCTAGGACAGCCAGAGCTGTTACAGAGAGAGACCCTATCTTGGGGGGTGGAGGGGTAGGAATTCTGTCATCTGCGTTACATATCTTGATGTCTTTTTTAAGAAAGGAAACAGTTTGCTCTGTTTGACAGCACATCCCTATGATCCCAGCACTTGAGAGATAGAGGCAAGAGGATCAGCAATACTCCAGGGTTATCCTCAGCTACAAAGCAAGTTGGAAGGCTGTAAGATACCCTGACTTTTTTGTTTTGTTTTGTTTTGTTGGTTGTTTGGGGTTTTTTTGAGACAGGTTTCTCTGTGAATCCCTACCTGTCCTGGAACTCACTCTGTAGGCTAGGCTGGCCTCAAATTAAGAGATCCACCTCCTCTCCCTCCCAAGTGCTGACTAAAGGTGTGTGGCACCCTGCTGGCATGACACCCCATCTCTAAGAACAAAAAGGAAATGTGATGAATAATTCTTACATCTTTTCAAAATCCCAGTATTGCTGCCTTTCTTAGAGATGAGTGCTCTCAAAAATGTAATGACCTCTTTCACCTTTTGAACATTTTTATGCCTTATATTTATATCTGTAAGCATATCTTCAAGAGTTTGGCCTTTTTTCTGAATATCATTTTATTTAATGCTTATTCATCTTGAAGTACCTATTCTGTTTAACTGCTATATGGTATTACATTATCTGTACTCATACATCTCAGTTTGTTTTCTCAGTAAATGTTTATTTTGTTCCTAATTTTTGCTCTTACAAACAATAGTTGAGTGAACATACTGCATTTTGTGCACAAGTATCAACATTTCTAAAAGTTAAAATGGGATTGTTTAGAATTAGAGTTTCTGACTTATATCTTTACTTTTTCTAGATTTTGGCAAATCCAGAATGGTTACATTTATTTGTATACTCATTAACATTTTCTTGGGACAGGGTTTCTTTGTGTAACAGTCCTGATTGTCCTGGAACCACCACCTGGCCCCATTTTCTTTCTTTTTTTATTTTTTGCTTGTTTGATTTTTTTTTTTTTTGTCTTTGCCTCCACAGTGCTGGGATTAAAGGCATGTGCCACCACCCCAGGCCAGGATCTTTTATAATATGTGAATGAGGCCAGGTGGTGGTTTGATCCTGTTTCTTCCAGTCTTTGCTAGGACTTGGTATTAATCACATATATGAAAAAAACAACACAATTATTTTGAACAGTAATTTATATAGACAGGCATGGTGGCACACACTTGTAGTTATAGCTCTCAGGAGGCTGAGGCAGGAGTATTATAAATTCAAGACCAGCCTGGGCTACATAGTACTAACCCAGCCAAGACTGCAGAGCAAGACTCTCTCAAAAAGAAGAGCAGGAGGAAGAGGATAATGAAAATGACAACAATAGTAATAAGTTGTACTCATAAAATGCAGTAAATTATGTCTTTCTCTCCTTTTCCTGCTTCTACTAACTGTACTTGATGTATGCTAAGATTAACTTATTTTTCTTTCTCTTAGATATTTTTAGTCTTTTTTCAAGTGAATCTGGGAGCTATGTCGTACGGGAAGAAATGGAAAGAATGCTCCATGTGGTGGATGGTAAAGTCCCAGATACAATTAGGAAGTGTTTCTCAGAGGTATACTTAAAGATTTATATTTTATTTCTTCTTGTTGATGTAGTGTTAACTCTTAGTTTGTGGTAAATATGGCTATGATGGATGCTTGCGCACAGAGGATTCTTGGTATTTTTATATTCAATGATTAATGTTTCAACTCCTTTATGTGCTGTGCTCAATAAAGAGTATTCATATTATCTAATAATTCTACAAGAAAATAAAGTGAAATAAGGGAAGAAATGTTGATAGGGCGGAGGTAAGTGCTGCTCTTTTTAAGATAGCTCGGAAAATCTGTCAGATAAAGTGAAATTCAAGAGTTTATGTCTCAGATGGGTGTGATGGCACATACCTTTAATCTCTGCACTTGGGAGGCAAAGGAAGGTGGAGCTCTGTGATTTTGAGGCCAGTCTGATCTACAAAGTGAATTCCAGGACAGCTAGGACTGTTAAACAGAGAACACAGAGAAACCCTGTCTCAAAAGGACCAAACAAAACAAAACAAAACAAACACACACACACACACAAAAAAAAAACCGAGTTTATGTCTCTCATTGCTGCTGTGTTTGTGAACTAGAAAATCCTCGATTCTGGGACTGAAGAGATAGCTCAGTGGTTAAGAATGCATGCTACTCTTCCAGAGGACCCTAGTTTGAGTCTTGGTTCCCAGTTTGAATGGTTCACAACTTCACAGCTCCAGAGAATCAGGCATTTTGCTCTGTGGGGGCACCTACCCTTATAGGCACATACTCATATACATAATCTTAATTTAATAATAGTAAACTAAAACTTTAAAAAAGAAAAATCCTCAATTCTACTATAAAGACAATTACTTATTTATATTTACACTATAATACTACACACTCCCACATAGATACACTGACACTGTTGCACATGCAGGCTCCTGCAGAGATTATAGGTGTACACTAGATCTATTTAGCATTTTCATGTGTTCAGTACTACAGAATAAACTTCTATATTTTGGTTCTGCCATACTTACTTGAAGTTACTGTAATAGTATTTTAGTACTTCAGTACAAATTGGGGTATACTTTGTTTCTTTCTAATAACAAAAATTGCTGGTCAGAAAAAAAGTCTTTGCAAATTGAATTAATGGATTTCACGAAGATAGCAAATGTCATTAATATTCTATTCTTTTTTTTCAGAGAAAGTGATAATAGTTTTACATTTAAATAAGGCTTATTCAGTCATTCTTACTTTGCTGATGGGAACTAAAAATGATTGGCCATCTGTCCCTTAAAATTATTGACAGTAGCATATGCTTTAGGTGGTAATTAGTGCTCTAAGGAAATTAAGTAGAATAAGAGGTAGGTGCTGGTGGGGAGAAAGCAGCTAAGTGTTCTCTTATGTGTGGGATAACTATGAAATTCTGTCAGATAAAGTGAAACTCAAGCAAGGATTTATATTCATAAGGATACCTACCTCCCTGAAGAGAGTACAGTAAAGACGCTGAGGTGGAAGTGTGTTTTTCTCTGTCAGAGAAGCAATAAGGCTCATTTAGTTGGACTAGAATTAACAGTGGAATAGTAAGAATCAAAGTGGGATTATTGGGGCATTGAGAATGTCTGTTAGTTACTTTTTTATTGCTGAAGCAAAAAACCATGACCAAGGCAACTTGTTGAAAAGTGTTTAGTTGAGCTTAGTTTCAGAGGTTGGAGTTCATGGTTGTGGAACAAAAGCTAGAGGCAGGAACAGTTTAAGGCTCATATCTTGATCCACAAAACACTATATGAGAGAATGGGAATGGTGAGAGGTTTTTGAAGCCTCAGAGCCCACCCCCATATGATACCCCTTTCTTACAAGGTCACACCTCCTAATCTTTCCCAAACAGTTCCATCAACTGGTGAGCAAGTATTCAAAGTATTCAAGTATTCATACTTGTATATGCTTTGGAAGCTATCTCATTCAAACCACCATCGGAGGTTATAGTGTGAGTCTTTGATTTTTACCTTAAGTAAGATAGAGATCCTTGGAAGTTTTGGGCAGATGAGTAATGCATAAGGTCCTTCTTCCTTTCTCTCCTCATTTCAAAATTTACAGTGCTAGCAGGTGAACACAGGGCCTTGTATATGCTAGGAAAGCATTCTACCATTAAGCCACGTCTCCAGACCTTTTCATTTTTATGTTAGATAGAGTCTCCATAAATTACTTAGGCTAACTTTGAACTTTCTTTACCAGTCCAGGCAAGCCTCAAACTTGCTATCCCCTTTCATTTTTCTTTAACTTTTGTAAGTGGCTGGGATTATAGAAATGCCTACTACACTGGCAAGTTGGCAGCATTCATTTTTTTGAGACTGGATCTAATGTACCCCAGGTGGGAGCCCTGGTAGGAGGCAATGATTATTTAGATCATGGCATATAGCAGTGAGATAGGGAGAGGTTATTAGATTCTATACTTAACTATTTTTAAATGTTTTTAAATTTCAGTTATTATTGTGTGTGTGTATGATATGTGTGTGTTTGTTGGTGTCATGCTGTGGTATGTTTACATACGAAAATCAGAGGACTGCTTTGTGGAGTTGGTTCTCTCCTTCCATCATTACTTGGGTTCTGGAAATGGAGCTTAGGCCACCAGGTTTGCTTAGTCAGCGCTTTTTCTTTCTGACCATCTTGCCAACCCTCCTGAGAGTCTGTCTGTTTTGAAGGTAGACTTACAGAATCTTTTCTTGTTTAGGTTAGAATAGAAAATCATGATTTGAATATTTAGAGTTTCTGTTAATGGAGATGGTTATGAACTAGAGAAGGCAGTTTGGGGAGTTGACTATGATTTAATTTGCTGCAATCTGCAGCCCTTTGTTTGTTTTGTTATGGGGTCTCCTATGTTGCCCAGATTGGTCCTAATCTCATATTCAATATTAAATCTGCTTTAATTTTCCAAATATATGGGGCTGCAGGTGTGTTCCATCATTTTTATTCTTGTTGTGTATAGTGTATGCATGTGAGTATGTGATCGCCTGTACCTGTATACATACAGGTGGCAGAGCAGGAAGTCTTGAGACAGTGTCTCTCACTGAACCTGAAGCTTGCCTTTTAGGTGAGCTTTAAGGGATTTATTGAGCTTAAGGGAACTGCCTATTTTTGTCCCCAGTGCTGGAGTTACAGGCATTTGCAGCCACGATCAGCTTTTTACGTGGCTGTTGTCTTAGGGTTATTATTGCTGTGATAAAAACAACATGAACAAAAGCAACTTGGAAAGGCTTACTTCAGTTTAAGGTTCCACATTACAGATCATCACTGGGGGAAGTAAGAGTAAGAACCTTGGAGGCAACATCTGATACAGAGGCTGTGCAGGGGTACTGCTTATACTGGCTTGCTGCTTCCCTCCTGGCTGCTTGCTTAGCCTGCATTCTTACAGTATCCAGGACCACAAGCCCAAGGATTGCACCACCCACAATGACTGGACCCACCTTTATCAGTTGTCATTTAAGAAAATGCACTATGGACTCGCCTTGTAGGCAAATCTTATATAGGCATTTTCACAATTGAGGTTTTTTTCGCAAATGACTAACTTGTGTCAATTTGACAGAAAACAAGCGGGCATAGGTAGAGGTGGAGGGAGGGAGGGAGGGAGGGAGGGAGGGAGGGAGGGAGCGCGCATAGGTGCTCTCAGAGGCTGTAGTCATTGGATCTGTTACAGGCAGTTATGAGCCACCAGATGTGGGTGCTAGGAATTGAACTCTGGTCCTTTGGAAGAGTGATGTGTACTCTTAACTGCATCTCTCAAGCACCCCCTTTTGGTTTTTGTAAAAATTTAGTTATATAGCCATGATTGACTAGATTATCATTGGTGATCAACTCAGCCTTCAGCCTCCTTTCTTCCCCAGTATTTGGCAGATGAGCTTGAAATTAATCGTTGCTATCAAACTTGTAATGGTTATTTAGTTACATACCTAATGGCTGTAAGCTGTCATACAGCCTAGTAACAAACATATTTTTATAGAGTTCAGGAGTTTTTAGGTATAGGACAAAGGAAAGAAAACCAAGCACAGAATTCATAAATTCATAAAATCATAACCATTTTTTAAAAAGCTAGTTGTAATAAATGATTCCACAGCTTTTAAGATTTATCCCAGTATCTTAAGAGTTAATGGTGTAAAAAGTGTGGAATTTATACTCCTTTACTTTTAGACAAACATGGTTAGAGTAAGAATAGGATGATAAAATCCTTAATCCCAACCATGTTTGCAGTGTCTTCTTGTGTCCATGTCTCAAATTTGAAACAAGACTGTCAGTGTTGTCTCCATAGTTTGCATTGCATTGATGCTAAGTGTTTTCAAGCTAGGAGGTTAAGCACATTGTACTTAGGAGGATCCTATTCAACAGTGCAGAAGTTGTTTTATATCCTTCAGCATTTCTATTAGGATTGGAGTTGCTAGGTCCCTGGATGCCAGTCTTTGTTGTATTTCCAGTGAGTTTTTTCTTTTTCTCAGAGAAATATCTAGTCCTTACTAAACTTAAGAGCTATTGTCGAAGCAAAGCTTACCTAGAGAGCAGTTTCAGCACAGTGTTGTTTAACCTAGATACTTTTTTTTCTTTAGAGATTTAGTAAAACAAATACTTGTAAAAGACATGAAGTTGAGAGGAGTATGTGTGGAGGGGGTTTAGAGGAACTTAGAGGAGTGAGATGGGGAGGTAGAAATGAATATTTCATTGTATAACTTGTATGAAATTTTCAAATAGTTCTTTTAAAAAGGAAAGCAAAAAGTGGAAATGAACTTGTTCCTTTGGCTGGGGGGGTTTGTTGAGATAGGGTCTTTTTTTTTTTTTTTTT